GAACTCGTGAAAAATGTATGAATATATCCAGCATATGTCATACTACAGCTAAAACTTCAGCTAACAACAACTTAACAACAAGTTGAAGCTGGATTTTGGATAAGAGTCGACAGATTTGACACCAAGTGGGACCGCTTCATCTAACAGCTCCACACCGGTCGCTGAGTGGACCAGAACCGAGTCGACGATGTCGGACTTTACTCCGTGATCATCAGTAGCTGTTTTACAGCAGGTAAATCAACGTTCTTAATAATGTTAGCTTGTGTTTACTTTGGTTACAAAACAACCAACTGAGTTTTTATTTTTCCTGAAAGAAGAAGAAGCTGTCCTGCCACCAGGTGGACCGGTTCTGAACGAGGCTCGGCCCAGGTGCACTGCAGGAGGACGGTGAAGAGAGAGATGTTGATGAACCATTTATTTAAAATTCCCCTCAGTTGTTTTATTCAATCCATTCAAGTTCAGTTAACGTTTTTAATAGTGTGTTCAGTTTAATTATCAGTGTTTGTGTGACATACAGTTTGTGGTGTTAAATAAATAAATAAAAATTAAACCTGATGTCTTCATTTTCAACTTTAGTGTTCACGCTATATGTTTAGCATCATTTTAAATTTGAATCACATAATGTCCAGATAGCTTCATTTAGCTCAGAGCTTCATTATATCTCACACTAACATAAATACTGTTTATTATTGTTAAACTTATTATTTAGAACATTTATGTTATAGTGCAGCGCGACGTGTGCCTCGTTCTATGAACAGCGACATTAGAACTGGATCAGATTGTGTCTCTTCCAACACAGATGTCGGTCACAGCACCTGGAATCTGACATAGATTAACTACGAGATTAAAATATATTCCATCAGTCGTAGTTCAGAAAGCGCTGTGTCCGCTGCCATGTTGATAGAAATATAGCGTCTGTCCGCGCGTGGTTTAACACAAAGCCTCAGTGGGAGATGTTTACATTATCGGCGGGGGGTCAGAGAAAAACCTCCACTGTGGAAGGTGGGTTCAGAAACCTCCGGATTCAAAGAGGGGGGCCACTGTTGTCGTGTAGATGATCAGCAGAACCGCAGAGAGGAAGCTGCGGATGCACTCAAAATACGCAGCGTGTAAACGGCACCTTAAAGTTGCATTATATGTTATTGAAAGTGGAAATCTGAGGCCTCCTCCTCTGTTAAGAGATGGTTTTTCTCTTTTTACATAAATTGCTTCCTTCACCCCTCTCTCAAACCATCTGGGTTCTAGAAGAAAGAGTGTCCCTTATCTGTGAGGTGGAGGTGAACAGCTGAGTCTTGTCCGGAGGAAGTAGCTTCTACAAAAAACTTCAAAGACGCATGGCTCAACAAAGGAGAACGTTTTTAGGTCTTTAATGTGGGCGGTGGATTGAGCCATCATTTGAGCTCTGGGACAGGTAAATTCAAAAAGATGACGTGACACGTACCACACTTTTTTTAAACAAAAATAAAAAAATACCTTACCAAACATTTAATTTCAAATTTATTTTAGAACAAACTTTGTTTCACACACATATCAAACCATAATTTACTGTAAAAAAAAGTACTAAGAGGAACAAAGTGAAACAGTAAACATTCAGAGACTAGAAGGGTCAGTCGCTGCTATATTCCTCTATGTTCTGTTCGTCTTCCATCAACAGAACCTGGTTGGTAGATGGTTGGGGCTGACTGGCCTGTAAACCCTTTACACTCTGACCTCCTTCCTCCTCCTCTTCCTGGCACACGTCTTTGTCTGTTAGAGCCTCTAGTTTCAATCTGTCCATAAAACACAAACCAAAGTAAAAAAAAGGAAATTGTATCCATCTACATTTAAATATGAAAGACTATGTTCAAAATAAAAAATCAACAACACAAAACAGATTGTTTCCTGGTGGCCTGACCCTCTCAGTGATCGCCAAGGGGTACCCTCATTTCTCTTTCTTAAGCCCCAGTATACTGCCGCGTACATCCATACACAGAGGTACGCACGTACGTACGCAGAGGTACGAGCGTACCCCCCAGGGCATGTCCGTGCAAAGCTCAAATTTTTACGACCGCATACGCGTACACGGTGTCGCACAATAAACTGCCCAGCGACGGACTGTTTTGTATGTGACACCAATGTATTAAATTCCCCTTCTTCATCTCTGATCTGGCCTTTTCTTTTGATTTTTGCCAAAAGGCAGTGATCTCTTCCTCCTCCGTTGATGCCATGACTGAAATGGTGAGAAATTAAGGAATTTGTCACAAGAGAATTAAACTCAGGTCCAGCATGACTGCGGGAGGGTCTGGAGATTTCCTGGTGGGCTGGTCTGATGTGTGGACTGTAGAGCCAGCGCTCCCTGTTTTTTTTTTTTTTAGATCTTTTTATTAACAACATATAAACACAGAACACTGCTGTGTCTGAGGCTCGCTTTTTTTTTTCTTTTTTCCAATCTGTCAATCAATCCAGTAGGTGTGTCAGCAAATGACCAATCGGCGACCTCAATTTGTCCCAAAGGTAAACGCCCCTTGTCTGTGAAGCTGCTCTGCAGCTGCTCGGGGTGTACGCTGGAGTATGAAGTCTGAACCCTCTGCGTACAGTACACGTGTACGTACGCGTGAACGGACGTACGCGGCAGTATACTGGAGGCTTAAGCCTGTCTGTCACAGCAGAGCAAACACACAACAGGTGGGCATGCAACCTGCTGTGCGTCTGCTCTGCTGTGACAGACAGCTTCAGAAAGTGATACTAGGGGGCGGGGGTAGGGTCTTGTCTTTCCACATCGCTGTTATGGGGCTTCAGTGAGGTGGATACCTGAGTATCCACCCCACTGAATATGGTAGTATATGGATTGTTTATTTAAAATAATCAAGCGTAACCCGAACAGAGTCTTTAGTCCGCCTCGGCAATCACTGAGCAGGCCAGGCCACCAGGAAATGTCCTGCTCCTCTCGATGGCCAGTCCACCCCTGGGATTGGCTCAGCAACCGTAGCATCAGTCTGTCTGCTCTCTTTCGCATTAGAGCGTTTAGAGAGTTTAGAACATTGTAAGAGTGTGGGAAGGGTTTATAAAGCCTTAATATATACAAAAATACTAAAATAAATATAAGGTCCCAACTTTGTAGATTTTCACCTATCGCAAGGGTGTCTGTAATGTAATCCCTGTGATAAGTGAGGGACTGACCATCCATCCATCCATCCATCCATCCATCCATCCATCCATCCATCCATCCATCCATCCATCCATCCATCCATCCACTCACTTTCTTCCACTTATCCGGGGTCGGGTCACGGGGGTAGCAGCTTAAGTAGGGAGACCCAGACTTCCATCTCCCCAGCCACTTGGGCCAGCTCCTCCGAGGGAATCCCGAGACGTTCCCAGGTCAGCCAAGAAACATAGTCCCTCCAGCGTGTCCTGGGTCTTCCTCTGGGTCTCATCCCGGTGGGACGTGTCAGGAACACCTCACCAGGGAGGCGTCCAGGAGGCATCCTAACCAGATGCCCGAGCCACCTCAACTGGCTCCTCTTGATGTGGAGAAGCAGCAGCTCTACTTTGAATCCATCCCAGATGACCGAGTTCTCACCCTATCTCTAAGGGAGAACCCAGCCCCCTAGGAGAAAACTAATTTTGGCCACTGGTATCCAAGATCTCGTTCTTTCGATCACAACCCAAAGCTCATGACCATAGACGAGGGTAGGAATGTAGATCGATTGGTAAATTGAGCGCTTCGCCTTTTGACGCAGCTTTATCTTTACAACGACAGACCTGTACAGTGTCCGCTTCACAGCAGACGCTGCACCTATCCACCTATTGATCTCACGCTCCATTTTTCCCTCATTAAGTGGAGGAGTTCATGTTCAAGTGAGGGACTACTGTGTGTGTGTATGTATATATATATATATATATATATATATATATATACATATATACACACGTAACTTATATATTCCCTCAACTCGGGATGTCCTATGTCGGTGGATAGAGCACTGAGGAAGTGGAGCCTGGGGAGTTCCTTAAGGCTCTGGATGTTGTGGGGTTGTGTTGGTTTACACGACTCTGCAGCATTGCATGGACATCGGGGGCAGTTTTTCTGGTTTGGCAAACTGGGGTCGTGGTCCCGCTATTCAAAAAGGGGGACTGCAGAGTGTGTTCCAACTATAGGGGGATCACACTCTTAAGCCTCCCTGTTATGGTCTATTCAGGGGTTTTGGAGAGGAGGGTCCGTCGGATAATCGAACCTCGGATTCAGGAGGAGCAGTGTGGTTTTTGTCCTGGTCGTGGAACACTGGACCAGCTCTACACCCTCAGCAGGGTCCTGGAGGGTGCGTGGGAGTTTGCCTAACCAGTCTACATGTGCTTTGTGGACTTAGAGAAGGCGTTCCACCATGTCCCTCGGGGAACCCTGTGGGAGGATACTCCAGGAGTATGGGGTACCAGGCCCTTTGATATAGGTTGTTAGGTCTCTATATGACCAGTGTCAGAGCTTGGTTCACATTGCCGGCAGTAAGTCGGGCTCGATCCCGTTGAGAGTTGGACTCCGCTAAGGTTGCCCTTTGTTCATTCTGTTCAAAACTTTTATGGGCAGAATTTCTAGGCGCAGCCAAGGTGTTGAGGGGATCTGTTTTGGTGGCCTTAAGATTACATTTCTGCTTTTTTGCAGATGATGTGGTCCTATTGGCTTCATTAGATTGTGACCTACAGCATTCGCTGGAGTGGTTTACAGCCGAGTGTGACGTGGCCGGGATGAGGATCAGTTCCTCCAAGTCTGAGGCCATGGTCTTGAGCTGGAAAAGGGTAGAGTGCCTTCTCAGGGTTGGGGAGGAGGTAATGCCCCAAGTGGAGGAGTTCAAGTATCTTGGGATATTGTTCACGAATGAGGGAAAAATGGAACGTGAGATTGATAGGTGGATAGGTGCAGTGTCTGCAGTGAAGCAGGCGCTGTACAGGTCTTTCGTGGTGAAGAGAGAGCTGAGTCAAAAGGCGAAGCTCTCAATTTACCGATCGATCTACGTTCCTACCCTCATCTATGGTCACGAGCTTTGGGTTGTGACCGAAAGAACGAGATCTCGGATACAAGCAGCCGAAATGAGTTTTCTCCGCAGGGTGTCTGGGCTCTCCCTTAGAGATAGGGTGAGAAGCTCGGTCATCTGGGAGGGACTCAAGAGTAGAGCCGCTGCTTCTCCACATCAAGAGGAGCCAGTGGAGGTGGCTCGTGCAAATAGTTAGGATGCCTCCTGGACGCCTCCCTGGTGATGTGTTCCGGATACGTCCCACTGAGAGGAGGCCCAAAGGAAGATCGAGGACTATGTTTCTCGCCTGGCCTGGGAACGCCTTGGAATTTCCCCAGAGGAGCTGGCCCAAGTGGCTGGGGAGAGGGAAGTCTGGGCCTCCCTACTTAGACTGCTACCCCAGCGACCCAACCCCGGATAAGTGGAAGAAAACGGATGGATATATTCCCTACAGTCTATACCGTAAAATCCCTGTTGTTAGCAAAATACCTCATGAACCGGTGGGCAGATGTAAATGAAACTTTCAGAAAGTAATCCTTGGATGTTCCTCTGCAACCTATGACATTTTTAGAGTCAACCCATTTCAACATGGCTGGCCTGGCAGACTTTAACAAACTTTAGCAAGCATAAAAATGGCTCCAGCTCAGTCAGTTTTACAGATATTGAGTTCAAATTTCATGTGGTAGTAGCTGAAAATCTTCATAAATAACATTTGAAATTTTAGACCAAAATGGTTCCAAGTGCAGCATTTCTCGACGTCTTCATTTAAAACTGGCATGGAAAGTAGTGGATGATGTGCCTTCTTTAAGGAATGGTAGGTCTTCATTATTATTGAAATTTCAGCTGATATAGTCGTCTGTCCCATCCTTCAGGATTCAGACTTGGATCATGGTAATGCTTTAAAGAGATAGTCTGGGCATTTTGAAGCAGTGTTCTGTCTAATAGTATCCTTTCAGCTGTGAGATCACTCATAAATTATAGAGTATAAACAAAAAATAAACCTTTATAATTTAGTATGAGATCATTAGTTTTATTTGTAAAGTTCAGATTTATTTTGATTCTGTTGCACTGCAGACTTTCTATAACTCCTAAAACTAAAGACTAACTCTTAGCTATTACCACAACAAAATTGCACCAAGTGTAAAATCATTGTTTAATGAAGGTGTTTATCTGTGGCGCCAATCGTAAATGGGAGATGACTTCCAAAGTCCATCAGCTGTAGATGCACATCCAGTGACTTTAAAAAAATATTTCAAGTGGTTCTTGGGAGATTTTGCCAGCAGTCTAGGCACAAGCAGACAAGCTAAAGCAATCCTGCCGCTGCGCCTTCAGCAGCGGGCGATAATCTAAAATGTAGAAAGAATCCGTCTGTACCTTCCAGGGTCTCTTGTTAGCGGCATCTGTCCCACATCTTGGATAAACGTTATTTGTTCTTGGAGACAAAATGTCGCACACATCAATTAATCATCAAAAATGTGATTAAAATAAATCAGTAATTAAGAGGCAATATGTTAGATTATTTAATGAAGTGATAAAAAAAGCATACGTTGAAAGACCAACATGTATGAAAAGTAAAGAAATAAAAAAACAAATGATAGTGTTCCTTTTTG